ATTTTTAACAACAAAAGTTTGAAAATGTTTCTAATAAATGCACTTTTAAAAAAAATAATTTAATGCCAAAAAGGCTTACTTATTAACACAAGGGTTCGAAAAAGATAGTAATTCATCAATAAAATTTAATTTCGTAATTAATGAAACATTTTTACAACTAAAATATTATCCATAAAAAGTAATTTCATTCTGAATATATTTTTTTTAATTTTAATTTATTTTAGGACAAGGGGTACCTGCTGTGCTTAAGCACATCAGGGTGTGCCATGCATGCAAAAACAACCGAGATTTTTTTTTTTTTTTGGTGGAAACAAAACAAAATAAAACCATACAAATCTTCATAGGCATTTATTGTAGTAAGGAGAAATATCTACTAGCATATTTTTTATTTTATTTTTGAAAATTCACATGAGTTGAAATTTATTATTTATTAAGTATTATATTTTTAATGTTTTTAAAAATCAAATTAGACTAATTATATTTTGTTTGACATTGATATTTATTAGAGTATATTGGTTGATTTTTTGACAAATCAATAAATAATATGTAATAATATATATCATTGCAAGCAAATTTAACAATAATTTTTTAAGGGTTTTATGATTTTTTTTTATTGATTTGTCTGAATGAATACAATATTATTGTTGTTGTTGTTGTTATTATTATTATTATTTGAAGAAATTATAAAAAAATAAAAATAAAATTCAGTTAGTGATCCTTGTAATGAAATAAATTACGAATTTTTAATTTTATCAATTTAAACTTTAAAATTTTGATTTGTTTTTAATCTCAACAATTCATCTATTTTTGTTAGGTAAAACTCACAATTTTTTTTTTTTAGTCATTAAACTCAATATAAATATACATAAAATGTCTAAAATATATATTTTTTTATCAATTTACCTAACGAAAATAGGTCAATAGTTTAAATTAAAAACAAATAAAAAATTGAAGTTTAAATTAATAAAATTAAAAACTCATTATTTCTTTTGTTACAAAGACCAAATTTTGAGATTTTTTTATTTTTTATTTTTATAATTTTCCCTTATAATTTTTGTTAATTTTTCTTAAAGTAATGTAATTTTGACAGATGTACTCAAACCAAAAATTAACCAATAGCAGCACACACACCAATAAAAAAAAAAAAAAAAAGAAGCAAAACGCACCAAAATTGTGCCGTTTTGCCGCACGACAGTACCGGCTCACAGCAGGCACCCTTTCTCTTTTAGTATTTGTTTGACATACGTACCCTAAGAAGGTCAAAATTTTCAAGTTGGTGTTAGCCTAATTTTTAGTATTTGGCAACAATTTTGTTTTTATCAGTTTCCCATCAATATTTGGGGGTGTTTGGGAAGAAAAAAAATAGCCAAATTTAGGTTAAAAATTACAAAAAGACAAAATAGGTTAAAATAGCTAATAAGACAAAATATCACATCAAACCCATAATCATTTCACTTTTTCTCTCACAAACATCACATCCAACCACAAAAAAATCCAATCATCTTTCCAAACACAAAAATTTTAGCCTACTTAAAATAGCCAAAAACTAAAATAGCATACTAAAATAGCTACTTCCCAAACGAGGCCACTATTCCATTTTTTATATGAAGATATTCTTACACTTGTAACGCAAAATGGTAATGATGTCAGCCAAAAGAACCTGAAAAAGTTACTAAATTAAGACCTCATTTGGAACATGTTATTTTAAGGGTTGTTTTGGGAAGATAATTATAATCAATTTTTTAGTAAAAAGTTATTTATAAGCAGTTTTTTTGTGAGAGAGGAAGTGTGTTATAATCCACTTCCCAAAATAGCCCTAATAATGTTTTAATTTTTTTGGTTAAAATATGAGGAAAAAATTAGTATATTTAGAATGACTTTAGTTTTTTATGAAAAGATATGTAAAAAGTAATAAATAAATAAAAAAAATCTTTGACTTTTTATATAGATTGGTGGCTTTTTAGTTTTTTTTGGGTAATTTTTAGACTTTTAAGCTAAAACATTGAGTTGCTGAACGATTTCAAAAATTTGGTTCCACTTGGTTAGTTTTGAATCATGATTTGAGTTTTGAATTCTATTTTGAGTTTTTAGTCGTAGAAATGAGTTTTGAAAATAAAAAATTTATTTCGTTATAAGTTTTGAAAAGAGTTTTGAATTTTGAAAAAAAAATTTAGTTGTATTTTAAAAAATTTTGGGTTTATTTTTTTAAATTATTTTAAAAATATATAATTTTACTTTTTTAGGATAAATATTTTTTTATTGTAAATATTTATTTATTTATTTTTAATGTTTGTTGTATTTACTATATTTGTACGTTTTATTTTTTAAAATATTTAAATTCTTAAAAAAATTATTTTTTTATTTTCAAAATATAAATTTTATTTTAAATATTTTTATAATTTTTTATTTAAAATATTTTTTTATTTTTAAATATTTTAAATATTGTTTTAAATTTTTAAATTTTTTTTCTTTTTTAACATATTTAATATTTTTTTTAAAAAAATTAAACTTTGAATTGCCCATATATATCTTAATCATAACAAATTAGTTGGCAAATGCTGAAAAAATATTTTTTTCAAAAAAATAAAAAATATTTTTCTTCAAAAATAAAAATAAGAAATATATTTTTGGGAATAAAATATTTTTTCAAAAAAATATAAAATAAAAAATAATTTTAAAGAACAAAATTAAAAAAAAAACATTGAAATTTGTTTTTTTAAAAAAAATAGAGTTTTGAAAAAAGTTTAGTTATAAGTTTTGGAAAAAGTTTTTGAATTAAGTTTTGAGTTATGTGTTTGATTATGAGTTTGGAAAATAATTTTTAAATTGAGTTTTGAGCAGTGTTACGGCTGAGCAAGGAATCCGTGAAATCCGTAATCCGATCCAGTCCAGTCCAATCCGATAGGTTTGGATTAGTTTTTTGAATCCGTGGTTCGGTTCCGGATTGAAAAATTAAAAATCCGTAGTACACGGATTGGTTCTGGATTGAACCCCACGGTTCTGGATTGGAACCGATCCGGACCGTATACAAATAGTATATATTTTTATTATACATCCTCCCCCATAGTATCTTCTCTTATTCTATATAAAATCTAAACTCAAACCTAAAACCGTATAATATCTTCTTTTATTGCTTTTGTTTGTTAGTTTTTAGTTTTAATTTGTAATAGTCTAAATACTTATGGTAAAACCAGTTTTCTTATGGTTATTTAAATTCTAGCACAGTATGTCGCTATTATAGAAATAGATGTTGCTATTGTGGAACTTATATAGCGCTATGTTTATATTTTTATGAAATTAAAGTGTTATATATATTTTTTTGTTATTTAATTATGTGAATCCGTGGTTCTAAACCGATCCAATCCGTATTTAAATGGATTGGTTCAGATTGGTTCCATGATTAAAATGGATTGGATTGGTTCCAATTTTTCAGGAACCGTAGATAACGGATTGGTCCTGGTTTTACCCCAATCCGGTCCAATCCGAACCATGCTCACCCCTAAGCAGTGTGTTGGGTTATGAATTTTGAAAAAAAAAAAATGAAATTTTTTAATCCAAATCACGATTCCAAAACAAAAACTTTGACTCAAATTTTATTCAAAAATATTAATTTATGACTTAGATTCATTTTATAATTTGACTCACACTACCCTAAATTCAATTTCTACCACATAAACACTTCACCTAGAAAAAATTGGGACAAAATTTATTTTTTCTTACTTTACTCTTTTATGTTTTTAGTTTTTCTTACTTTATTCATAAAACGAAATTTTATTCAAAATTAGATAGAAAATATTACAATAACATAACATAAAAAAAAAATTATTATATTAAAATTTAAGTTTATTTCAGATGTGTGAGTTATATATAATAAAATATTTTTATACCACATAATTGTCAATATATTATTTTTTGTCTAATTTTGAACAGAAATTAACTTTGAGAATGAAGTAGAAAAAAATTGAAACAAGAATAGTTAAAATGAAAAAAATAAATAAAAGTACTTTAAAAACCATAGTAAAAAAAGTAATCAAATATAAAAGGGATAAAGTGTAATTTACCCAAAAATTATTAAATCTCACTTTTTTTTTTTGCCCAGCACCAAACCATACCCCAAATCATTGATGACTATGGCCCAACACCCAACCATACCCCAAATGAATCCAGGATAATCGCCCCCGACCCGACCCACCGCCTGGCCATACTTGGCAATCGAAACACTCACATTTCTATTGAGATAACTATTACTACCTACTTCTTGCCAGTTGATGATGAGCATCTTCATGGAAAATAGATAGACGTAATAACACCAATTGGTGGGTTTTTTTTCTTTTTTTTCCTTCTCTTTTTGAGTTCAAGCAAAAATCAACTACGTGCAGTTTCAATTTAGATATGGATAAATTGTATCAGTGTTCCCTATTATTTAGCCTTTTGTTTCAATTTGATCCATATCTTTTCTATTGTGACAAATTTGATCTAATTTTTTCTAACTATATCAAATATAAATAATTTATAACAGATATTAAATTTTTGGGATATTACAGATCAGTGTAACTGTAAAAAAATAAGTACAAATTAATGATAAATTTTATCAATTTTAAAAATTAAATACATAAGTTTTTTCATGTATTTGTAATTATTTTTATAGAATTACACTGAATTATAATTTTTCCTTAAATTTTTATGACCATTAGTGTATTTTATTCCACATATATATACATATATATAAAATAAATAAATAAATAAAATGAAACTTGATGCATGACAAAATTGAAGACCGGTTGGTCTCTAAAAGGATTAGCATAGCAAATTAGATTATACCAGTACATAATATATATCTATCATTTATAGTTATCTACATCTTATGGTAAATATAAATCTAATTTGTTTAGATTTTCTCTAGATTATATTTTATCTCATTATTGTTTATCCTTTTATCTAAAACTCTATTATAAATAGATATCTTGGTGATTAGTTCTCAACTTCCTCTCATCAGAATTTTCACACCGCAAAAATGAATGATTGTAGTAGATTTTTGGGGTTAATTACTATTATTCTGCTCTATTTTTGTTTTTCTTTTTCGTTTGCTCTTGATATTTCATATGATGAAAAAGCGCTTACAATTGATGGAGAACGGAAAATTATAATATCTGGTTCAATACACTATCCTCGTAGCACTCCCGAAGTAAGTTTTGAACTCAATGTTAAATGCAGATTTGTATTTTGTACTTTTAAGTTGTAATTTAATGTTAAAGCACATGCATCTTAATTTTATATAATTGAAAAAGAAAAAAAAATAAAATAGGGAGACTCATTACACGATGCTCAGGGGCGACTCTACATGGGTCAAGCTATAAAAAATTGTTAATTATTTTTTTTAAAAAAATTTATATTGTAGTATTTAATTTAATTTCATTAAAAAATTAAGGGATCCTATCAAATAGGGATTCATACCCATTTGACACCTATTGTTTAAGAAGTTTAAAACGTCTTGTTTGTTTAATAATTTTAAAAAACAATTTGAGTTTTTTATTTAATTTTATTTTTTGGTGTTCGAACTTTTTAAATATCTTAAGCAATTTTTTTATCGTTTAGATTCGTTTAGTCTAAATATATTTAAAAAGTAAAATATTTTAAAAAATTCATAAATATTTTAATTTTTTGAGATACATCAAGATTATGTGCATCTAATTTTTTTTTTTTTTTTTGGACTTAAATATGAAAAAAAATTCATATAGACAACAAAAACACAAAATGAAAGACTCCAACTATACTTTCAAAATCAAATAGAGTTAATGTTGTTTAGTTTAAAAGTTTTTTTTTTTCCTAGTAGAATATATGGATGCTTGTGTTAAAGACAATCAAGTCATACTTTAACATGATTGAATGTTGAATTTGTAAAATTGTTTTTTAGATGTGGCCATCTTTGATCAAGAAAGCAAAGGAAGGAGGTCTCAATGCCATTGAGACCTATGTCTTTTGGAATGCCCATGAGCCAATATATCGACAAGTATGTTTTCTCATCTATCATTTTCTTATAGATTATTTTTTCTCTACTATATATGAATTTAACTCTTTTTCATATCATTTATACAGTACGACTTTTCGGAAAATTTAGATCTTGTTAGATTTATTAGAGCCATCCATGATGAAGGGTTGTATGCCATTTTGCGTATTGGACCATATGTATGTGCAGAATGGAATTATGGGTAATTATCCTAATATCTAAATTTACATAATAATAAGATTTTATAAAAATAAATAAATTTACTTAGTTTAATTAATTTATTTATATCTCACAGAGGGTTCCCGGTATGGTTGCACAATATTCCGGGCATTGCATTCAGGACTAACAATGAAGTGTATGAGGTAATTTTATGAATTTTACAATTAAGTGTTTGATACTTTTTTTATTTAAAAAAAAATTATCGTTCAGTAATTGTTTTTCAATTATTTTCAAATTCAGAATGAGATGAAGATTTTCACAACTTTGATTGTTGACATGGTAAGAGATGAAGGTCTCTTTGCCTCTGAAGGAGGACCTATAATCCTCGCACAGGTTTGTTTCTAGTATTATGATATTATTATATTTATTTTATTTGTTGTAATTGTTTGAATATTCTTATTACTAATATAATTATTCTTCTATCTTCCAAAAAAAAAAAAAAGATTGAAAACGAGTATGGCAATGTTATGTGGGCCTATAGAGATGAGGGAAAATCATACATACACTGGTGTGCCGACCTGGCTCAATCTTTTCACATTGGAGTGCCATGGATTATGTGCCAACAATCGAATCCTCCACAAGGAATGGTATTAATATTTTCTATTTTCTAATTCTTTTAATTTTTTTAATTTTTAAGTAAATGTGTTTATAATTTTAATTTTATTATGACAGATTAACACATGCAATGGTTGGTATTGTGATGGATTCAATCCTAGTAGTGGCATTCCTAAGATGTGGACCGAAAACTGGAGCGGCTGGTTAGTATTCAATATTTGTCTTTGCTAGTATAATGGCTTTATGTATTAAATCAATAATGATGCTTATTATTATATTTCTATCACGGATTAATTAGGTATAAGGGTTGGGGTCAAAAAACCCCTCACAGAACTGCAGAAGATCTTGCCTTTGCGGTTGCACGATTTTTTCAATATGGTGGCACGTTACAAAACTATTATATGGTTTGTAGCTAAATATATATTTTTATTTTGTTTTGCATAAAATTCAACAACAAAATAGATAATTTCTTAATTGTATTTTTTTTTTTTCCAACAAAGTACCACGGTGGTACTAATTTTGGTAGAGTATCGGGAGGTCCTTACATTGCTACAACATATGATTACGATGCACCCCTTGATGAATATGGTAAACAAACTTAACTTCTTATTTAATTTTTGTAAACTATATTTTTCATTTACATGTATTATTATGATATTTTTTTTAGGAAATTTGAATCAACCCAAGTGGGGACATCTTAAGCAACTCCATCTCCTCATTAGATCAATGGAGAATATCCTCACACATGCTGTGATTAGAAATGTTGAATATGGGAATATGATGACAGTAAGCTTTATTTTATTTATTTTATTTTTTTATAAAGATTTATCAAATATATAGAGGAGTCTTTCAACTAAATATTATCTCCTTCTTTTTTCAGGCAACAATATTTGAGTATAGAGGTGAAAGGGTATGTTTCTTTGGAAATGCGAATGACAAAGATGACATAACAATTAATTTTGAGAACAATAATTACACTATTCCTGCATGGTCTGTTAGTATCCTTCCCGATTGCTATACGGAGGCTTACAACACTGCTCGGGTAAAAAATTTGTACCTAATTTTATTTTTTTAAATTAATAATAAAATTAGTTTACAAAACTTTGCATTATGTATTTTGGGCTAGTTTTGGCTGATTTTTGTTGTATAGGTCAATACTCAAACATCTAATATGGTAATGAAGTTGAATGACGCCGATGAATATCAAGAACCGTATAATTTGCAGTGGACATGGAGATCAGAACACTTTGAACATCTTAAGTTCAATGACAAAAAGATGGAGAATGATTATATTTATACTGGTAATCAATTAATGGATCAGAAGTTTGCGAACGACACTAGTGATTATTTGTGGTACATGACTAGGTAATTATATAGTTCTATTTTCTTTTTGTTTGTTAATGTATATATAGTATATATTCCTACATATATAGGTATAATATTGTTTATTACTCTACATATACATATATCTTAATTTTATTGGACTTTTTAAAAAATGTTTTTTTTTTTTTAGTGTGGACATTGATCACAAGGATCCGGCTTGGAAGAACAATGTTACCCTAAAAGTTCACACGGCTGGGCATGTACTTCATGCATTTGTTAACGGGAAGCACGTTGGTAATGTGATTAATTAATTTTAATTAAATCATTAGAAAGTCTAAATATTCAATTGAAATATTCATTTGACTCATTTCTGGCATGTTTTGACTTTATAATAATTTAATTTCAGGATCTCAATGGGCCAAAGGTGGGCGCTATGAATTCGATTTTGAATCAAAGATTAAAATGAAAAATGGAACGAACTTGATATCTCTATTGAGTGTCACTGTTGGTTTGGAAGTAAGAATTATGTTATTAAGTGTAAAACAATGGCAACTTTTTTTTGTTCTAGTCTTTTAAATAATTAATTAAACACATTTTTTTTTCTCTTGATGTTGTGGTGACTAGAACTATGGTGACCACTTTGATGAAATAAAAAATGGAATTCATGGTCCGGTGAAATTGATGGGTGATAACAACCAAGTGAAGGACTTGCAAAATAGTACTTGGACATACAAGGTCGGAATCCATGGTATAGACAACAAAAAACTCTACTTGAGGAAAAATCGGTATGACCAAAAATGGAAATCAGAAAATCTCCCTACGGATAGGATGTTTGTTTGGTACCAGGTGATTCAATCAATTTAACATTGCTAATTTTTGCAACGCCATTCTTTTTCCTTTTTTTTTTTTCTTGTTATTTTTTGACATTCTTATCCTAAGAATTCGAAATAACATCTTTCTTTTTTTTTTTTCTTTTTTTTTTATAAATTTGTCGTAGACGACTTTTATGGCTCCGTTGGAGAATGATCCAGTTGTGTTGGATTTATTGGGATTTGGTAAAGGAATTGCTTGGGTGAACGGCCATAATATTGGGAGATATTGGCCAAGTTTTTTTGCTGACGATAATGGATGTGATTATAAATGTGACTATCGCGGAACATATTCTAGTTCAAAATGCTTGAGTGGATGTGACCAATCTTCACAAAGATGGTAATTACAATTTTCAATTTGATATATATATATATATACGAGTTTTAAAATTTATTATGATTTTTATGTCGAAATAATTAATTTAGTAATGTTTTTTTTTTAAATTTATTTTATTAATAATAACTAGGTACCATGTGCCACGGTCTTTCCTCCAAGATGACGATAACTTGTTGGTTTTCTTTGAAGAGTTTGGAGGCAACCCTACTAATTTGAAAATCCAAACCGTCACGGTTGGAACAATTTGTGCAAATGCTTATGAAGGGAACAAGTTGGAGCTATCATGCCAAGGAGGAACTATATCTGAAATCAAATTTGCTAGCTATGGTAATCCAAGAGGCTCTTGTGGATCTTTTGAAAGAGGAACTTGTGAATCTCCTAACACTACAACGATCATAAAAAATGTAAGTTTACTTAATTACTTTATCCTCCATTGCATGTTTTTAGTTGATTAATTCGTTTTTAGTGTTTTGAATTTTTCTTTTAATCCTCCGAATGCTTGATTTTAGTTGATTAATTCATTTTTAAGGTTCTGATTTTTTTAATTTTTTATTTTTTAATGGCAGGCATGCGTTGGCAAAGGGAGTTGTGTGATTGATGCATCCGAATTTACTTTTCCTAATAATTGCAAACTCGTTGGGCAAAGACTTGCTGTTGAAGCTATTTGTTAGACAAAATTATTTTAGGGTTTCTAAATACTGATATTTTGATGTTTTAGTTTTAGTTTGTTTTAGTGGTTGGAATAATATTGTGAATGTTATTTGTCTTTAATAATTTTTTTTTTTTTTAAATTACTTTGTGGATACCTTTACTACTAGATGAATTTAAAGAGTAAAATATTTGACATTATTTATAAAAAAAAAGATCACTAAAGAGAAAAAATAAACTTTTTAAATTGAATGCAAAATCACTTCTGACTAGATATTGATCTAAAATGTATCTTTTGAAAATTGAAAATAAAAAATAGAAAAGAAATTACAAATCTTCCTTCTCTTGAGATGCTGTAAAAGGAACTTTGGCAGGAGTTTCCTTCGCTTCCTCCTCCATATACAAATCTTCCTTCTCCCCTTTCTCTTCCTCTCTGCTTCTTTCTTCTTCCCCTCTCTCTTCTCTGATTCTGTGTTTTTTTTATTTATTGAAATTTTGTTCCAAAACGACGTCGTTTTGGAGAACCGCAAGATCCGCCGTAGAAAAACGCTACAGAGGATCCGGACTCGTGCATTGGGTGCACCAAATACATTTCCTGCTTAAAATGCTTATAAAAAATAAAGAAAATAATTTTCTTGTTGAAACCACATAATTTATGGCATGGATAACTTAAATAAGTTTTCTACCAAACTAAGTCGCCATTGTTTTGCTCTTCTTAAAAAAAGTTATTGCGTGGTCCAAAATTAATGTCAATCAGTGGCACAACATTGTAATTTGCTAATGGTTTGACGAAGTGATAGTATTGTCTAAACATAGCTGCACCAATAAAGCGCCTAGCCAATGAAAATAATGTAGGTGCAACACGTTGAGCTCTCCTTGGATCAACTAATAATTTTTCCATTTTAGTTATTGTACTTAGAAATTTGGTAAGTAAATTTGACAGGAGATAGAAAGCAAATTTGGTACAAAAATTAATTATTTTAACCTATCTCTTACAACAACAATGATAGAGACCACTAATTTTGGAGCTCTAAAAAGACCACTAATGACATGACACTCAATAAAAAAAGAAAAAAAATACAACACCAAGGCCAAAACATCAAATCATTCCTGGTGGGGCCCACTGCCACATAATTAGTGATAGCACTAATTAGTGCTCTCACTCATTTTCCCTCTTACAATTACAAAATAATATTGGCAAACATCAATACGTCTTCAAATTCTGACACATCCCATGGTTACTCTGCATCAAAAAATGCACAAACTAGATTTCAAATTGGGAAACTACATAATTTTACATATCAAAGAGCCAAATTCTTATGAAACCCTATTTCCAAAGTTTACAGTCCTAAATCCCAAATTCATTGAATGTTGATCACTCATCAATTTTATCAAAGTGTAATTTAATAATAAATCCTCCTTAGATGATAGATAAAACACTATCAATAGGTCTTAATAATTGGGTTTAATTCTCATCAAGTCTTATTGAAAATAAATCTTGATAAAATTGTCACTAAAAATAATTTTTTGTGACAATTTTTTACATACGTCGTTAAAAATTGAAAATTAGTGACATTTTTTTTGTCATAATTTTTATAAATTGTCGCTAAAACTTATAATTAGTAACTTTTTTTATGACAAATTTTTCTTATATGACTTATTAGATAATAGCTCTACTTATTAAAACCTACACGTAAGTATCGTATAGAGTTCAACAATGGCGGAGAATATACTAGTGGCGTTGACTTCCACTTGAGGCTTTGGAAAGAAAATGGCAATTTGTAGAATAGAAAACTTTTAGAGTGATTTTCGCTAATTGTTTTTAGAATATAGTGATCGTTTGTGTGTTTTAATCGTCTCTTACTTCAGAATCTCTCTCGGAATTGTGATATCTCCATTACATGTTTTTAATAGAGCGTTAAACAGGTTTTATTTGTTAATTTATTTTTTTAATTTTTTAGTTTTTAGTTCTTTCTTTTATATAGGTTTTCTCATCACTTCCATTTTATTTTCATTGGTTTCTTTTCAAATTTCACCTCATCAAAAGTGAACCACTCTATCCGAAATCGTGGACCTAATAACGTTAAATAATTTTTTTTTCATTGATTGAAGCTTTGAACCAATCAGTAGAAAAAATTTAAATGTTAAAATTAGACTTCACCTCATCTCCATCTCTACATCAACATCTCATAGAAATTGTTAACTATTAACTACATGTGCCCCATAACAAGATGTCTCAATCAGTATGTCAAAAGGAAAATTATGACTCAAACAGATTTTAACATGTAAAATAAACAAAAATGCTATACAGTAACAAATTTAAATTTTCAAATGCATGAATAATAATATGTTAAAAAGAGTTGAACTTTATATGATTCAATTTGTAATAAATTAAAAGTTGACATGATTATTACCATTATTATAACATATATGAGTCATATATGAGTTTTAAATTCGGTTGGTTTTCTTCCATACCACTGGTGGGTCCCACAAAAAATATGTTCGTTTGAGAAATGGTTAGTCCTATGAGATTAGGATTACTCTCTAGTAAGAGGACTAACAATCTCATCGAAAGGTGATATTCAATTCCATCCCATGAGATTGGAAGTGTAATGCTTGTTTTTTCCTTCATTTTATAAAAGTAAAAAGTCACATTTTACCTAATAAGGACTTTTATGTAATTTAACATATTTTATGTCAACCAAGTAATAACCATAATACTATTATACAGATAAACACAATCTATTTTACATTTTAAATTTAATACCATCACACTAGTAATTCCATCACTTAATCCCACCATACTAATAATCACATCCACCATATTCCGAAAAACAAAAGAGGCCATAGGGACTAAACTTTTTTGTTTCTAAGTGTAATTTTGTTGTAAAAAAAAATTAGAGATCAATTCCATTCATTATGTGAATTTTGAAAAATAAGATATTTTGTCTCTAAAAATAATTTTGTTCCTAATTTTATTTCTAAAATTTTAATTTATTGTAGTGAATATTGTTAATTAGTGTAATAGAGATGATCTAAATCTAAGTAAAAATTTAATATAACAGCGATATCACGTCATTAGTGACGTAATAATATTATAAACTGATAATCTCGTTTGGGAACAGGTTAATTTAGTTACTTTTTGGTTATTTGGCTAAAATATGAGCTAAAAAAAACTAGTATGCTTGGAATGACTTTTTGACTTTTTACAAAAAGATGTGCAAAAAGTAGAGAGAAAAGAGAATCTTTGACTTTTTTGTATGGGTTATTGGCTTTTTGGCTAATTTAGTAACTTTTTGACTTTTTGACTAAAATGGAGGGTTCCCAAACGAGGCCTAAACTTATATGGAAAGGTTCAATCCACTAACTATCTTGTAATAATAATAATAATAATAATAATAACAAACAACAATTATAATATAATATAATATCATATCATTACTATTACTATTATATTGAATTGTTGTTTAGGGTTCATTTGGGAAGTGTGTTAACTTTTTGACTTTTTGACTATTTAGCCTAAGGTTAAAAATTTCATTTGAGAATGACTTTTTGGCTTTTTAAATTTTTTGTGAGAGAAAAAATGTAATGTTTATGAGTTAGATGTGATATTTTATCTTATTAGGTTAAAAAATTATTTTATTTTTTTTTGTAATTAAAATAGTCCCAAATCTAACCCAACCATTATTTTCAAACGAAGCCTTAGTAGAGATTTTTTGTTTTTTTTTTGGAACAGGAAGCCTTAGTAGAGTTGAGCCTTCCACTTTAGCCCAAGCCCATCCTTACTCTGGTCCAAAACTCTGGTCCAAAATTCCACGTGGTTTTTTCGGATGTCCACTTTGCCACCAAAATGAATTTGTTAACTAATTTTTTTTTAATGTGTGAATAATACAAAAAAAAATATATAATTAATATAAAAATATGAATTTATATTCAAAATATGTAATGCTTCCATCCAAAATAATAAGTTTACCAATTAAAAGTATACACACGAGTTCTTAGGCCAAGTTTGGGAAGACTAAAAAAGTGTACTTTTTGTCTTTTTGGACTAAAAAATTGAGGTTGAAAATATGGATGTTTGGGTTAACTTTTTGACTTTTTATTGAAAAATGTGTAATAAAAAATTGTAAAAAATTGATTTGTAGAGAAAAATTTGAATTGGAGTTGTGCAGCCGTAATTGTTGACTTTTGGTGAATAGTGTTAACTTTTTAGCTTTTTGAATAACTTTTTGGCTTTTTGGATTTTTTGGATCTTCCCAAACTTGCCCTTAATTCTGTTTTTCCCTATCTAAAAAACAAAAACAAAAAAAATGTGTGTCAATAAAATCGAACTCACAACACTATCACAACTAATATTATTTGATTCTTCTTCTATGTGAATTTGATTATAGAATTCAACACAATTTTCATGTGTCATAGGATGGACTTCTCATATTTGGTGAAATCCATCTTATATAAAAAAAAATTATATCTGATATTATAATCAAATTATATATATTTAGAATTTTTCAAATTCGGATGTCCACTTTGCCACCAAAATGAATTTGTTAACTAATTTTTTTTTTAATGTGTGAATAATACAAAAAAAAAATATAATTAATATAGAAATATGAATTTATATTCAAAATATGTAATGCTTCCATCCAAAATAATAAGTTTACCAATTAAAAGTATACACACGAGTTCTTAATTCTGTTTTTCCCTATCTAAAAAACAAAACAAAAAAATGTGTGAATAAAATTGAACTCACAACACTATCACAACTAATATTATTTGATTCTTCTTCTATGTGAATTTGATTATAGAATTCGACACAATTTTCATGTGGCATAGGATGGACTTCTCATATTTGGTGAAATCCATCTTATATAAAAAAAAATTATATCTGATATTATAATCAAATTATATATATTTTGAATTTTTCAAAATTATTACATGGGCCCCATATTTAATATGATCTGGATCAATGAAATTTTGTACTTTGTTTATCTTATTTGCTTTTTAATTTTTCAAACTATCTTAGTTAATTTTTATTTTATTTTTATTTTTGCCATATGATACAATATTAGAGGGTTAGTACCTAGAGAAAAAAAAACA